GAGGGATTTGCAGAAAGAGCAAATCTCAGAGCAAATCTGTTTCTGATTTTAGTCCATCCAGCCGCAAGCAGGCTTTTTGAGCAATTATTATCAGACCTTGAGATAAATCACTCTGTGTGCCATTAATACATGAAGGATTAGTTGGCCTCCAAGATTTATGGGCAGATTAATTGGGGAGTGTACATTAGATAGCTGTGTTTAAAACCGCCGTCATCTGCGGATCATTAGTGCTTTATTCAGAGTTATTTAGCCTCACAGTATAATAACATTCTTCCTGGTTTGGCTTCTTCCCACCTTAGCCGGACTGGCTGTGTTGGATAGGTCTAGCTAGGCATATACAGAGCACCCAAAGGAGCAGCAGCTTCTGGCTGAACAGGGACCAAAATTGACAAGAATTTGTCCTGAGAGGCAGAATGAGGTACAAGAAATACATATCTATTCTGGAAGCAGCGGTGGGAATCACCCCACTTAACAAAAGGGAACTTCTACCAGAGAGCAGAAGACACGTGAACCTTTGGCAGCACCCTGGGTAAGCAGAGACAGCTGGAAGTGTACATACAAATATATGTGCATATATGCTTATATATGCATACATATCATACATGTGTATCATAGAAGTGATATATATTTAAACGTTGAAATATGTAATGATATATATTGATATACTGATAATATATATGATGCAATGATAATATATAATATAATGGATAATGATATATATTAAAATATAGGTTTTATATAATTGACATATTAAAATATATATTTCTTTGCTATAGAGAAAAGAAACGGCATATATCTATGTATAAACACACATATCTATGTATGTATACATTTTTTGGCTATTTGGGGGCCCAGTGTAAATAAAAGTGCCATTTCTTCATTTTTTTTTTTTAAAGTGAGAACATTACTAACTTGTTTGTATCAAAGAACTAGCATTGATTCATGAAAGAAGATTCAGAAAACCGGAATCAAATACAGTGAAAGCAGGGGTTATACCAAATAGAAGTTACATCACCCAGAAGCTAAATCATATTTCTGTGGAAATGACCACAATCACTAAAGTCAGTGGTTCTCAGTGGACGTGCATGGGAAATTCCTCTTCCCCCCTGAGGGCCTGTGGCAGTATCTTGGGGGCATTTTGGGTGGTTAGGACTCAAGGCTGCTCCTAGTATCAAGTGGGTAGAAGCCAGGACACCTGCACAAGGCCTGCCATTTGCAACACAGCCTTTGGCGGCAGAATTATCTAACCAAATTACCAACAGTACTGAAGGGGAGACATTAGATTAGATAGACTTTTTTCCCAGCTGGCAAAAGTTACTTTTTATTAGAAATAAATATTTATTGCTTTGGTAGGTTCCAGGGGGATATAATGGAATTCTGACTCATTATTATTATGGGATTATTACCAATTTGTTTGTGTGTGTGTGTGTGTGTGTGTGTGTGTGTGTGTGTGTGTCTGCCTGTATGTCTTAGAGCTTGAACTCAGGGCCTGGGCATTGTCCTTGAGCTTTTGTGCTCAAGGCTGGCACTCTACCACTTGAACCACAGCTCTACTTCCAGATTTTTGATATTTAATTGGCGATAAGAATCTCAGACTGGGCGCCTGTGGCTCACGCCTGTAATCCTAGCTACTTAGGAGGCTGAGATCTGGGCAGGAAAGTCTGTGAGTTGTTTTTTTTTTTGGGGGGGGGGTTCCAGTCATGGGGCCTGAACTCTGGGCCTGGGCGCTGTCCCTCAGCTCCTCAGCTTAAGGCTAATGCTCTACCACTTGAGCCACAGCGCCACTTCTGGCTTTTTTTCTTTTTGCTTATATGGTGCTGAGGAATTGAACCCAGGGCCTCATGCATGCAAGGCAAGTGATCTACCACTGAGCCACCTTCCCAGCCCCTCTGTGAGATTCTTATCTCCAATAAACCACCAAAAAACCAGAAGTGTCACTGTGGCTCAAGTGGTAGAGTGCTAGCCTTGAGCTGAAGAGCTGAGGGACAGCGTCTAGGCCCAGAGTTCAAGCCCCATGACCGACAAAAAAAAAAAAAAAGAATCTCAGGGACTTTCCTGTCTGGGCTGGCTTTGAACTTGATCCTTAGACCTTAGCCTCCAGAGTAGCTAAGATTACAGGCATGAACCATTGGTGCCTGGCCCTTGAGACATATTTTATCCTTCAGTAATATGATTCTAGTAAACTCTTCTTTCTACGTATGCTAAGAAGGTTTACTTCCTGCAGACATGTGTTCATTTCATTCATCAGTTTTACATCTTGGGAAATCACCTGACATATTATTAAATCATGGTTAAAATGCAGGTTCTGGTTTGGTGCTGGTGGCATATGCCTATAAGCCCAGCTACTCAGGAGACTGAGATCTGAGGATCAAGGTTCAAAGCCATCCTGGGCAGGAAAGGCATGACATTTTTTTTACTGCCAATTAGCCATCAGAAAACTGGAAGTGGAGCTGTGGTTCAAAGCCATAGTGTACTAGCCTTGAGCGAAAGAGCTTAGGGACAGCTCCCAGGCCCTGAGCTGAAGCCCCATTACTCACACACACACACACAATGCATGCTCTGATTCTGAGGGTTTTGGTGGGACTTGAGGGTCTGCATATCTAACAAGCTTTCAAGTACTGAGTCTTCCTGGGTGAAGTGGGTGGTCCAGTCAATGGACCGCACAGGGAGAAGCAGGCATCCAGAGATACATGCGTGCTCAGTTACAGCCTGCTTACTGTCTCTGTGATCTTGGCTGTGTTAAAGGTCTCAGTGGGAGGAAGGTAGGGAGTTCTGTGGAGGGAAAGCTTTGCATGAACATTCATGCAAAGATTAGAGATTTCTATTGGGCTAGTTAATTAAATGTTGTCTGACAGTTATAACATACATGCAGTTCTGGATACGTTTCTCCCCCTCCCCTTTCAGGAGCTGATCTTTTGTGTTGTAAAATATAATTGGGAGTCAGGCATAATCCGGTATTTAAAACCTCAAGGAATTCATTCCCTTCTCCCTGGCCTCCTTTAGTCGGTTTTCTTGTTGTCTGGAAGGATAGTTGTGAGTGGGCGGGTTTTGCAGACTGCATAGTCACTTGATTTGCCAAGCAACAATGGGCTCCGTGTTCCAAGTTCACTGGCTAGGAAGTTGGGAGACCTAGACACATGCCTATTAACCACATTGCTCAACTCGGGGTCCCTACTCAGCAAATCCCTCCAGGGTCTATTCGATATCAATATAGCCCTAAATGAAGAAAGGAAGCAAAAAAAGTAATTGACACTACAACACAAAGGCACTGAGCACCAGGTGATTTTCCTTCTTTCCTTCCTTCCTTCCTTCCTTCCTTCCTTCCTTCCTTCCTTCCTTCCTTCCTTCCTCTCTTTCTCTTTCTCTCTGTCTGTCTCTCTCTCTCTCTCTTTGTACTAGTATTTGAACACAGCTTCATGATGGCTAGGCAAGAACACTACCACCAACCACACCCCTAGCTTAGTTTTCCCATTCAAATTTCAGTTCTAACTCATGTTACCTGGCAAGCATTTGACATATCTGTCAAAACTATTGAAACTGATTGTACTTGTTTCTACCAAGCTTTTTTTCCCCCATTATTTTTTCATAATTTAGACAATATATGGTTAATAGAAGTGGATTTTAGACACGACTGACCATTACTGGTAGGTCTAACACATGTCCAAAACCCTTGGAATATTACAAAAAGGAAGGTTAAAGCCAGGATGTCTTAGAAATGCAAACAAACAAGCAAAGAAAACAACTCCCAAACTGAGTTAAAAAGCAAACCATTTTCATAAAAGAAAGAAATTCTCTGGCGCTGATTCCTGTAGAGAAGAATTCCATATTCAGGTCAAAAGCGTAACAAGCCCATCTTGATTTGCTAGTCATTTATTTATCTTTGCAAGTAATAATAGAAACCGTGTGGGCTGGGCTCTAATCCGACTCTTGCTTTGTAGGGCGTCCAGATGGCCCAGGTTTAGCCTCTGCCTACATTTCCTGCTGATCCCTGGAAAAGGAAGTGGCTTCCTGCCTGTTCAAATAAAATCCACGCATCTTTTACTTGTGTTTCCTCATGTAGGAAGTCAGGGTGTTTTGCGTAGATGCCAGGCTTGAGAGAGGCCACATTCTTCCCCTTCACCCAGAGGTGCATGACCCCCACCTAACCAGATGAGCCGGTCTCCCTGTGGTGGTGGGCAGGGCCAGGCTGTGGTCAGTGAGATTCTTTGCACTGAGGGGAGAAACAGAACTCCTTGCCTTTGGTTTTTCTTCGATGGTGGCAACCCACAATTATCAAGAAAAGCCAGTGTTAAGACAAGCTCTGAAAAAGATACCTTTTCAAGTTTACATTGATTTCTCTAAAACACACTTGAAAATGGAAACACATGTTAAAAAAAAAAAAAAAGAAAGTGGGGATGGGGGGGTGGATGGGGGTGGAGGGATGGGGGGGTGATGTGGGGGCGGGGAGAGGTCAAACATTAAGCCAAAGCAAGCAAGACAAATAAGTTGGAGTTCAAACCTAGATACTGATGAAGTGGGGATTAGAAGAGGGGTTTCTCATTCTCAACCAACATAGTTGCTCATGCCTGTAATCCCAGCACTCTGGAAGCCCAGACAAGAAGACTAAAAGTTGGAGACTAGTCTAGCCTACATAGCGAGATTCAGTCTTAAAAAAAAAGAAACAAAGAAGAAAACGGATTTTCTAGCTTTTTTCTCACTTTCTGTGTATATATATTTTTCACGTAGAAGGAATTTTTTTGTTTTTGGTTGTGGGGCTTGAACTCAGTGCCTGAGCACTGCCCCTGAGCGTCTCCATTTAAGGCTTGAGTTCCACCACTTAAACCACAGCTCCACTTCCAGCTTTTTGATGGTTAATTGGAAATAAGAGTCTCATGGACTTTCCTGCTGGTGCTGGCTTTGAACCATGATCCTCAGATCTCAACCTCCTGAGTAGGATTACAGGGGTGAGCCACGGGTGCCTAGTTCTAGGTTAGACTTTTAACCATGATGTCTTTTCCAGGGCACGGAATACCACATTACTATCTTCTCCCTGTGAGTGGGACTGGCACCCCAGCTACAGATCCAGGCAGAAGTACCCCCCGAAGCAGAGACCTGGGCCTTTGCACGGCCTGCCTTCTCAGGTACGTGCTTGTCTCTTATCAAACTACTTATTGATGTAAATTATGGATGCATATTTTTCACATCATAGATGTAATCAAGATCACTACGTCTGTTGTTGTTGATCTGTACATTTTTTGAGGAAAATCTGATGGCGATGTCCCATTTACCTAAGAACAGAAACCTCTTCCCTGCATTCATGTCTGGAGTGACAGGTCTAGCTTGGATGCTGCCAACACTAGCGACACAGTTACATGAAGCACAATCCCTGCGCCTCCCGATCTGTGCCTGGATGGTGAGGTTGGCATTTGGTGCTCCCGGTAGTAAGATTGTGTAACAAGCAGAACACCAGAGGCTCACTCCTGTAATCCTAGCTACTCAGGAGGCTGAGATCTGAGGATCATGGTTGGAAGACAGCCTGGACAGGAAAGTCCATGAGACACTGATCTCCAATTAACCACTAGAAAACAGGAAGTCAGAGGGGTAGAGCACTAGCCTTGAGTAAAAGAGCTCAGGGACAGCAACTATGCCCTTAGTTCAAGCTCCACGACAACAACAACAAAACAAGAAAAAAACATGGTGTAACAGTGGTGAGCACTTTGCTGAAGACAGAAAAGAGAGCAGGCTGTTATCTAAGGACTAATTATGTCCAGGCTTTTAGGAAACAAGTTGAGCGTATTTCCCATGCACTGATTTCAATTCTCAGGACTTAAGATTGACAAGATATTAAATTTTATTTTGACACATGCTGGGATGTGTTTGTTCTTGGTTAGCCTTTAACTCCTGATGACAGGGCTAGGCCAGGGCTGCTGGAATGAGGTTGGAGTGTTGCCTGTGTGCTGATCTCTAATTCCTGTCTGTCCCTGCCCTCAGTTCTTGGCAAGTAGATCTCAGCTACAGGTGAGAACTAGAGTGTGGTGGTGGTGTGTTGTATGTCTGAGTGGTGTGTTTTCAAAGGGTGATATCTATCCATTTCTTTGCTACTGCCTGGTCCTGTGTGATCTGGGCACAGAGCTTGACTTCTCTGAGCCTCTGATTCTAAAGATTATGCCAATGTAGAAACTCAATCAATTATTGCCTAGCAAATACTGAGTATATACCAAGGTCTTTCTTTGTGTGTGTTGTATATTGGTCTTGGGGCTTGAATTTAAGGCCCAAGCACTCTCCCTGAGCTTTTTGTGCTCAAGGCTAGTATTCTACCACTTGAGCCACAGCTCTACTTCAGGCTTTTTTGGGGTAGTTAATTGGAGATAAAAGTCTCATGGGGGGCTGGGAAGGTGGCTCAGTGGTAGAGTGCTTATCTTGCATGTATGAGGCCTTGGGTTCGATTCCTCAGCACCACATAAACAGAGAAAACTGGAAGTGGCGCTGTGACTCAAGTGGTAGAGCGCTAGCCTTAAGCTGAAGAGCTGAGGGACAGCGCCCGTGACCAAAAAAAAAAAAAAAGTCTTGTGGATTTTTCCTGCCGGTGTGGGCTTTGAACTGTGATCCTCAGATCTCAGCCTCCTGAATAGTTAGGCTTACAGGTCTGAGCCACTGGTACCCTGTTGTGGGTTGGACTTTTAACCATGCTGTCTTTTCCTGAGTGCGTAATACCACATTATTATCTTCTCCCTGTGAATGGGACTGGCACCCTAGCTACAAATCGAGCAGTGCCTGATACTTAGAGTCTGCTTTCCTAAATGGAGATTATGCGAGACAGATTTTTTTAAATTGTTGCTGCTGTGAAAAAATACCTGACAGGAACAACGGAAGGGAGCTGGGCGCTGATGGCTCACACCTGTAACCCTGGCAACTCAGGAGGCTGAGATCTGAGGATCACAATTCAAAGCCAGCCTGGGCAGGAAGGCCTATGAAACTCTTAACTCCAATTAACCACCAGAAAACCGGAAGTGGAACTGTTGCTCAAAGTGGTAGAGTGTTAGCCTTGAACAAAAGAGCTCAGGGGTAGTGCCCAGGCCTTGAGTTCAAGCCCCACAAAGAAAGAAAGAAAGAAAGAAAGAAAGAAAGAAAGAAAGAAAGAAAGAAAGAAAGAAAGGAAAGAAAGAGGAAAGAAAAAGAGAAAGAAAGGAAGAAAAGAAAGAAAGAGAGACAACTGAAGGGAGGAAGGATTTGTTCTGGCAGATGGTTTCAGAGGATCCAACCCAGTCACTTGACTGCCTAGTTCTGGGCCTGTACTGAGGAGAGCATCATGATAGTGGAATGAATGGTAGAGGTTGTTCACTTCATGGAGGCCAGGAAGGGGGCGTGGCTTAAGGGGAAGTGGGGACAGGAGAGAGAAATTGCGTTCCTGGGAGAAAAGGTGTGTCCTGGCCCCCTGGTACAGGACAGGGTGGGGACAGGATGTGGCAGATGACTTGAAGTAGCCCCGGAGTCAGAGAGGAGTCTTGAGCAGACACCTGAGAATGGAAAGGCCTGGCCCAGCTGGGAAACAAACCTGAGGGCAGAGTGTATCCACCAAAGGGCCTGGAAGGGTTGCCCGAGGCCACAAGGAAAGACGCGTGTTTGGGCTGAGGATGTCACTGTGATTCCGATTTGTAATGAAGCATCACCCTCGGATAATGACGACTTCATCGCAGGGACTCTGTGCTGAGCGCCTCCCTTGCACTGGCTCATTTCATTCTCATACCTGTCCCTCAAGGTCATGTGCAGCTGCTACGTCTGTTTGTGCTTTAGTTCCAGCCCAGGGAGCTTGGGCCACAAGGATGGTCCCTCAGTCTGAGGACTGCAAGTCCAGTGGACCTGTGACTCCCTATGGGGCCAGGTTAGTCTTCCTCCTTAGCTCTGGATCTCTCTGTATTATCTCTGGTTCTGGTGGCTCTGTCCACATCTCTGCCTTTCATCAGGACACCAGAGATTTGGGAACCCCTTTGAAGACCTGACTTTAACCTGATGACCCTCTGAAGACCCTGACTCCACACTCATTTCAAGGTGTTGGGGTGGGAAGAATGGAGAGCTTCAACATATGAATTTTGAATAGACACAATTCATCCAATCACACCTGTGTGTGTGTGTGTGTGTGTGTGTGTGTGCATGCACGCACACGTGCGTGTGCATATATGTTGGTACTGGGGCTTGAACTCAGGGCCTGGGCACTGTCCCTTAGCTTTGTCGTTCAAGGCTGGTGATCTATCACTTGACTCAAAGCTCTACTTTGGTCTTTTTGTGGTTAATTGGATATAAGAATCTCATTGACTTTCTTTCCTGCTGGGGCTGGCTTCCAATTGTGATCTGGTCTCAGCCTCCTGAGTAGCGAGGATTACAGGTATGACCTACTGAGCCTAGCCCATCACACCTTTTTACAGATGAGAAAATGAAAGTGTAGATGATCTTGTGAAGCTGCTCATATCACACAGCCACTAGACCGAACCACACAAAGTTACTATTTTTTGAAAACAGCTGGCTGTTGGGCGCTGGTGGCTCTTGCCTGTAACCCTAGCCATTCAGGAGGCTGAGATCAGAGGGCTGCAGTTCAAAGTCAGCCAGACCAGGAAGTCTGTGAGCCTCTTATCTCCAATTAACTACTCAGAAAAAGTTGGAAATGGCACTGTGGCTCAAGTGGTAGAATGCTAGCCTTGAGCAAAAGAAGCCCATGGAAAGCTACGTTCAGCCCTGAGTAAGCCCCAGGACCAGAGCAAAACCAACCAACCAAGGAAACAAAAAACCAGCTAGAGTTTAAGATTCAACCTAAGTGATAGCAGAACTGAGGCTGGTTGAAGTCCAATTACTGCTGTGTCCTATTACCTTGCTCTCTATTGGATTCTAGCATTTTCTTTTGGTTTGCCAGACAAAGCTATGTTGTAGAAATCAGGGTTCTAAGATGCTAGTCTGGTAGTGTTGGGTTCTTGAGTTTCTAGAGAAAATACTTCCATTAATTAATTTTGTGCATTTTGTGGTGCTGGGGAATCGAACCCAGGATCTTGTGTATGCTCTGCTCATGCACCTCCCTCCCCCCAGTTTGCTTTATTGTTGCTTTAGAGGTGATATGCAGCGGGGCTATCTTTATATACATCCAGAAATAAGTACATTTCCTTTTGCATAGTGTCATCTGGTCCCTCCTTCTCTCCCATCTCCACCCAGGAGTTGCATAGTTCTCTTTCATTCATGTCCAGTTTCCACAGTGGCGCTGTGGCTCACGTAGTAGATTGCTAGCCACAGCAGCACTTCCAGTTTTCTGGTGGTTAACTGGAGACAAGAGTTTCACATACTTTCCTGCCTGGGCTGGCTTCAAAGCATGATCTTCAGATCTCGGCCTCCTGAGTAAATGGGATTACAGAGCTGAGCCACTGGTGTCTGGCAGCTCTGGTCTTCAATTTCCTTCTCAAAGGGGTCTGATAGTAAGTGAAAATCACCTAACAGTGTGTTGTTAGCACTGAAATTTGTACTTACCTGCATTTACTTGTACATTTGCTTGGAAATATTTCAGCATCCAGGGTTCAAGCCACATGAGCCGTCGTCCCGTCATGAAATTTTGTTCAAGTAGCTTTTCTAATGCCTGCAAGATAATTTCCTATTTTCTTCTCTAGGTGTTGAAAGTGAGAGAAAGATGTTCTGGATGTTAATCTACCAAGAGTCGTGTTGTTTTTAGCAGTTCAGACATCAGGAATAATTGGTATGCTGTTCAAGTGGCAGAAAAGTGTAAATAAGAAGACCTTTCATATTCTCTTTTGGCAGTACTGGGGTTTGAACTCAGTGCTTGTGTTTGTTAAGTAGGCCCTCATCATTTGAGGCACACCCCTTTTTGTTATAGGTTTCTTTTTTTGGGGGGTCCTGTCGTGGGGCCTGAACTCTGGGCCTGGGCACTGTCCCTCAGCTCTTCAGCTCAAGGCTAGTGCTCTACCACTTGAGCCACAGCACCACTTCCGGCTTTTTTCTTTTTGCTTATGTGGTGCTGAGGAATTGAACCCAGGGCCTCATGCATGCAAGGCAAGTGCTCTACCACTGAGCCACCTTCCCAGCCCTTGTTATAGGTTTTGTTGTTATTGTTGTTTCGTTTTTCAGATAGGGCCTTGAGTTTTTGTCC